GCATTGGTTTATGTCCCAGCTGCTCCATTCCCATCCAGCTCCCTGCTTGTGGCCTGGTAAAGCAGTGGAGGATGGGCCAAAGCCTTAGTATTCTGTACCCATACTGGAAACCCCAGAAGTGGCTCCAAGCTTTGGATCGGCACAGCTCTGGCCATTGTGGTGATTTGTGGAGTGAACCAGCATATAGAAGATCTTTCCTTCCATCTCTCTTTCTCCCTGTAAATCTGCCTTTCTGATAAATATTAAATAAATGTTTAGGGAGAAAAAAAAAAGATGTATGGGGCTGGGAACCAGTGGAATAGCTCAACTGGTTAACCCTCCATCTGTAGCACCAGCATCCCATATGTGGTCCAGTTCATGTCCCGGCAGCTCCACTTCCCATCCAGCTGCCTGCTTATGGCCTGGGAAAGCAGTTGAGGATGGCTCCCTCCCGCATGAGAGACCCAGAAAAACTGGCTTTTACACTGGCCCAGCTCTGGCTGTTGCAACCATCTGGGGAGTGAAGCAGTAGACCTCTCTCTCTCTCTGTCCATCCTTCTCTCTGTAAATCTGCCTCTCAAGTAAAAATAAATCACTTAATTTTAAAAAAAAGATTTATTTTTATTGGAAAGTCAGATATACAGAGAGGAGGAGAGACAGAGAGGAAGATCTTTCGTCCGATGATTCACTCCCCAAGTGAGCGCGACGGCCGGTGCTGTGCCGATTCGGATCCAGGAGCCAGGAACTTCCTCCAGGTCTCCCAAAACATTGGGTCATTCTCAACTGCTTTCCCAGGCCACAAGCAGGGAGCTGGATGGGAAGTGGAGCTGCCGGGATTAGAACTGGTGCCCATATGGGATCCTGGGGCATTCAAGGTGAGGACTTTAGCTGCTAGGCCACGCCTCTGGGCCCAAGAATTTCTTTTCTAAACAAAGATGTATTTTATCTATTATTTTAATTATTTGAAAGACAAAGTTGCAGAGAGAGAGAGACTTCCACCAACTGGTTCATTTTCCAAATGGCTGCAACAGCCAGAGCTGGGCCAGGATAGAGCCAGGGTCTTCATGTGGGAGTAGATATCCAAGCATTTGGGCCATCCCCCACCCCTTTCCCAGGCCATTAACAGGGAGCTGAATCTGAAGTGGAGTAGCCAGGACTCAATCCAGTGATCATATGGGATGCCGCTATTACAGGTAGCAACTTTACCAGCTGTGTCACACTAACAGTTTCTGAAATCATTTTTAAAGGAAATACATGTGATGGACTGGTGCAATGGGTTCAATTCGATAATCCTCCACCTCCATGTGCCAGGATCCCATATGGGCACTGGTTCGTGTCCCAGCTGCTCCATTTCCCATCCAGCTCCCTGCTTGTGGCCTGGGAAAGCAATAGAGGGTAGTCCAAAGCCTTGGAACCCTGAAGCAGTGTGGGAGATCAGGAAGAAGCTCCTGGCTTTGTATGAGCTCAGGCTCTGGCCATTGCGGCCACTTGAGGAGTGAAATTGTGAAGATCTTTTTATCTGTTTCTCCTCTCTGTAAATCTCCCTTTCCAATAAAATCTTTTTAAAATGTTTTTTTAAAAAATATCTAATTAGTTTATTCATTTGAGGAAATTAATGAATTAAGAAAAAATGGAAAGAAAGCTTTCTTTTTTTCTTTTCTTTTTTTTAATGGTCAATAGCTGAAGTTTATTAGTGGCACCAAGCTTTTCTACAATGAGGGTTACATAGGATAAGGGAGAAGGCTTTGAAGAGTTTACATGGTCTCCCATAAGCCTGTCTATGGAACCCATCAACTATTTCCACGCCCTTATCTGAAAGTATTTCTCTTTGTATATCCAATCAATTGTCCAAGAGATCCCTCTTCTCTGTTTTGTAAACTAGGGGGAATGTACTCTTAGAAGAGCAAGAAATGGGGAGAAGCCAGACTTAATGTTTTACAAAGCAACTTTACCAGGGACCCAAGACCCTAACTGCCTATTATCCTGTCTGACTCTTCACATTCCTTCCTCCAGAATGGACCCTGGCTGCTGCTAAGGACAGGGGGCAAAGACTGCTGTAACTGCTTCATGCTAAGAAGGGTGTAGAAGGGCAACAGTAGCAGGGTGTTCTTCAAGAGGGTAGGTCTAGGGGTTCCTAGTAGATGAATGTTATTGATATCCAAAGTACTGCTTGGAGCTTCAAGGCTTCTCTTTGTTGAAGTCAATTGTTGTAATCCCTAAGGGTCTCAGGAAGACTTTCAGCCTGTTGTGAACCAAAAGGAGTGTTCTGGTTCTTCCATTCTTTGAGGAGGTTCTGTGTGGTATTCTATTTTTCCCAAGGGCAGGGTAGCAATTGAGGTAGCTGTTGTACTTTCAAGGATGAATGAGCCATAGAGGAATTCTATAGTTTTCCTTAGGATCCATCAGAAAATTCTAAGGAGCACAACCTCTTTCGGAGGTGGGGAAAGGGCTCCATCGCCTTTTTTGTCTGCTTCCAAGTCCCTCTTTGGGTGCCACTTGTTCACTGTTTGGCATCGATGGACTTGAAGCATGGAGCCAATAATCACACATGTGGACTACTGACTACTGATGGTCAATAGTGGAAAGAGTTTTCTTCTGCTGACTTCCCACATGCCTGCAATAGCCAAGACCCAGCCATGCTGAAATTGAGGGCCAGAATCTCAATCTGAGTCACCCATGTGACTGGCAAGGATCCATTAGGAAACTGGAACTAGAAGCAATGCTGTGACTTTAACACATGAAATCCAATAGGGAATGCAATTATCTATCTTGTATTAAACTCTGTGTTGAAACACCTGTCCCAAAAGCAGTTTTGGGAAATATTGGGAAAAGTATGTGCATTTCTTAATATAAAATATGTATTTTATTTAGCTGAAAGGCAGAATGAGAGGGAGAGATGGGGAGAGAGAGAAAAAGATCTTTCACCCATTGGTTCACTCCCAAAATGGCCAGAGTCTGGGGTTGGGCCAGTGTGGAGCCAGGAGCCAGGATCCTGGAGCTTCTTCCAGGTCTACCATGTGGGTATAGGGTCCCAAGGACTTGGGCCATCATCTGCTGCTTTCTCAGGCTATTAGCAGCAAGGAACTAGATTGTAAAGGGAACAGCTGGGCTCTAACTGGCACTCCCATGGGATGCTGGCATTATGGAAAATGTAGCTAACCTGCCACGATACCAGTCCCTATAGGTGCATTTTTAATTTTTTTAGAGTGTATGTTTGTTTATGTATTTTTATTTATATAATCACACAGAATTTAAAAATGTAATATAATTCAGGCCTAGTATGGTAACCTAGTAGCTTAAGTCCTTACCTTGCATGCTCTGGGATCCTACATGGGTGCTGGTTTGTGTCCCGACTGCCCTACTTCCCATCCAGCTCCCTGCTTGTGACCTGGAAAGGCAGTGGAGGAAGGCACAAGGTCTTGGGACCCTGCCACCTGTATGGGAGACCAGGAAGAAACTCCTGGCTCCTGGCTTCAGATCAACTCAGCTCTGGCCGTTGTGGCCACTTGGGGAGTGAATCAATGGATGGAAGATCTTTTCTCTCTGTATTTCCTTCTCTCTGTATATCTGAGTTTCCAATAAAAATAAATAAATAGTTAAACAATTAATATAATCCTATCTGTACCTCTTATTTGCTCCCACTTCTGTGCTTTACTCCGGAAAGGCTTTTACCAATCAAAGACCATAAAAACATTCACTTCAATTTTTGTCTGATGCCAATCCCACTTCATATTTTTCATTTAAATTATTTGATCTATCTTGAATTCATTCTGCCGTAAGCAGTGATGTCTGCATCTGGCAGCATTTATAGAATATGCTACTTTGTTCCACTCTTTTTTTTTTTTTTTTTAAGATTTCTTTTTATTATTTTTTCATTGGAAAGGCAGATATACAGAGAGGAGAGACAGAGAGGAAGATCTTCCGTCCGATGATTCACTCCCCAAGTGAGCGCAACGGGCCGATACTATGCCGATCCGAAGCCAGGAGCCTCTTCCGGGTTTCCCACGCGGGTGCAGGTTCCCAAAGCTTTGGGCCGTCCTCGACTGCTTTCCCGGGCCACAGGCAGGGAGCTGGAAGGGAAGCGGGGCTGCCGGGATTAGAACCAGCGCCCATATGGGATCCCGGGCGTACAAGGCGAGGACCTTTAACCACTTGTGCCACCGCGCCGGGCCCACTTTGTTCCACTCTTAATTGAAAAGTTATTGTGCACTATATTCCCATACACATCTGAGTTTATTTGGAGGTCCCACTTTACTCTTGAACTTTAAAAAAAAAATCATTTTTTAATTTGAAGGGCAGGTTTTACTGAGAGAAGGAGAGACACAGAGAGATTTTCATCCATTGGTTCATTCCCTGAATTATCTCAATGTCCAGAGCTGAGCCAATCTGAAGTTAGGAGCCAAGAACACTTCCTCCTGGTCTCTGACATGGGTGCAGGGGCCTAAGGGTCTGAGGCATCCTCCACTGCTTTCCTAGGCTATCAACAGGGAACTAGATGGAAAGTGGGGCAGCTGGGACATGAACCAGCACCCATACAGGATGCTGGCATTGCCAAGACAGAGGATTAGCGTGTTGAGCCACCGTGTTGGTCCCTGCTCTTGAACTTTTTATTCTACTAACTGTGTCAGCGTCACACAATGTGGACTTCATTGCTTTATTCTGCATCTATCTGGCAGAATGGAGTGAGACAGCAGGGGTGGGGACTGCAGGGAGATTATCCCTGTTTTGTCACAGTCATTGTCAGCATTTCCCCTGCCAGTGTTCTCTCCAATGTTCCAGATGCATGTTGGAGTCATTTGGAGATGTGCACACAACATAGGAAACAGTCACCTTGCACAGCAGAATGGAATGAAGGCTCAGCAAGAGGCTGAGCCTGGGAGTAGCTGTGGGAGTTGTGGTGCCTGAGCTTCCTGGCTGGCACCAGGGCAGAGATGCTTAGAGATGGGTCAGGGAAGGAGCTGAGAGAAGGAGATCTCTCTCAGTTAGGGCTCCACACTCACCTGCTGCTCTTCCTCCTCTAGGGTATGAAGGACAGAATCTGGCCAAGATCCTCAAGGACCTAGAGACGAGTAAAGTGGTTCATATAGACCGGTGGTCTATCGAGGTGATCCCTCAGCAAACCGAGGAAAAGAGCGACCCGGTCCCCTTTCAGATCATCAATAACTACTTCTCCATCGGAGTGGTCAGTGGATAGGCATGTGGGGATGGGAAGGTCCAGGGCTGAACGTGAAGAGGCTGAGGAGGAGGACTCTGGTGCTGGGAGACAGGGGAGTAGAGTATGTAGGTGTGAGGTGTAGGATAAACTGGGATGTGCTGCAACCATCCTGCAGGGGAAGTGCGGAGAGAGTCAGCTCCATGCTGAGGCAGAGGGGTGGTGGAGGGATTCTGGTCTGACAGGCCTTGACCTCCCCAGGATGCATCCATTGCTCACCGGTTCCACGTCATGCGAGAGAAATATCCCGAGAAGTTCAATAGCAGGTGCACAAAAGGAATGGAGCAATGCGGGCCTACCCAGCGGGTTTGTGGGGTGTAGGGAGCAGATTGTGACCAAATTTGACTCACAGTGCTTAATGGGGTGATGACATGCCAGGAGAGCCCCTTGTGGAGTTGGGGGGTGGCGGTTGATATTCTTCCCCATCCCCTCCCTGGGGCCTGCCATCTCTGTGTAACCTGTCCCCTCCCTGCTGGGCCTTGCAAATTGGGGGCTGATGCAGAATGAAGAACAAGCTGTGGTACTTTGAGTTTGCCACGTCCGAATCCATCTTCTCAACGTGCAAAAAGCTGGAGGAGTCCTTGACTGTTGAGGTATGTGTCATGTCCCGCCTGAGTTGGACTGCAGCTTCATTGAGTCAGGTCTCCCTTCTCAGGCGTCCTCAGAAACCCCTCATGTCCTTGAACCTGTACCCCTTGGACTTCTCAGCTCTCCAACCCTGACTCCTCAAGTCCTCAGGAAACATGAGTCCCTATTCCCCTCCCTTCCCCCCGCTTGAAACCCTCCAAATCCTGGCCTTCCCACTATGGCAGCCATGACTCAGCCACGAGATGAGGATCTCTTTTCTCTCCTCCTGGGGCTCTGCTCCACTTCCCTCAGATCTGTGGGAAACCACTGGATCTGAGCAACCAGTCCCTGGAAGGCATCGCGGTGCTCAATATCCCCAGCACTCATGGTGGCTCCAACCTCTGGGGTGATACCAAGAGACCTCCTGGTGATATCTATGGGATCAACCAGGCCTTGGGCAACACAGCTAAAGTCATTACTGACCCTGATATCCTGAAAACTTGTGTGCCAGGTGAGAGGAACAGCCTGGGCACTGACTGGGTGGGACTGAGGTGAAGGTGTGACCCCCTCCCTTTGGGGGCAGCCAACTTCTACTCAATTTCTCACCCCCAGACCTAAGCGACAAGCGACTGGAGGTTGTAGGGCTGGAGGGTGCCATTGAGATGGGCCAGATCTACACCAAACTCAAGAGTGCTGGACATCGGCTGGCCAAGTGCTCTGAAATCACTTTCCGGTGAGGATACCCTCGCCCTCCCTGCCCAGACAAGGAGTGGGAGGGGCCTGGAGAACACTGGTGTCCCAGGCACAGTGTGTGTGTGAATGGGGCGGGAGGGGAGAGGGTAAGGTAGAGGAAGGTAAGAAGCTGAGTCATGGTGAGGGTCAGGTCAGGAGATCTCCACGAACCTTCCCTGGCCCCCACAGCACCACAAAAACCCTCCCAATGCAAATCGACGGGGAGCCATGGATGCAGACGCCCTGCACGGTGAGTCTCCCCCTGCACCTCCCGAAAGTGAAGCCCCGGACTCCAGGGCTCAGAAACCTCCAAGCCCCAGCTTACGCTTTCTCCTGAGGCCTCGCAGTTGTCTCTGTGTACCATTCCTCCCATACCTTGAATTCTCAACCTGTCCAGCTACCTTCCCCACATCCTGTCCACCCCCCATCTCCCCAGCCCCTTGAGGCTGCAGTCCCCAGCGTGCCAGGAACTGCCTCTGATGCGTCCTCTTCTTCCCTCCCAGATCAAGATCACCCACAAGAACCAGATGCCCATGCTCATGGGCCCACCCCCCCGCTCCTCCAATTTCTTTGGCTTCTTGGGCTGAGAGGGGACACTTCCTGCCACCTCAGCCTTGCAGCCAGCCTTGAACTCTCCTTCCTGTCTACAGACTGCACCCCTACAGCTCTGTACATTGCTGCCATGCCCTCCTGCAAGCTCAGAGGGGCATTCCTTCATCCTCACAGTATTTATTATCCTGCCCCCCCACTCTTGCCCACACACACTCACACACACAGACACACACACCCCACATACATTGAAAGTGCCTCATGAGAATAAAATGACTTTTTTCCCCACTGGGATATTGTTAAGTAAGTGGTACACCTGCTTCTTTGATCCCTTCCCTCCTTCAAAAGACAGATTCTCCCAAGAAGCTAGAGAACAACAGCACCAGGTTCTCAGTATTTATTTCAGGTAACAGTAGCCTGGGGATGGGGATCAGGAGGAGGGGGAGGCCACACAGGTGTTGCTGACAAGCCCAGAGACCTCCTCATGTCCCCACAAGAGCACTCAGACCTGCTGCCCGCCCAGGAGGGGGCTGTTCTCATTGGTGGCACAAGCACGGAAGAGCCTGGGCAGATGCAGACGCTGGATGCTGGCATAGGGCAGCTGAGGTGTGGCAAGAGCAGAGCCCTGCTTCATGAGCATGCGCCTGGCATCGGGAGCAGAAGGGAGGAACTGACTAGCAGTGGACAAAGACAGCCTCCTGTGCTTCTCTGAAGGAGAGGCCACAGCTTTCCCCACCCCCCCATGTCGGTCATGCGCACCAGGGTCCCTGCATTCGTGGGGATAAACCCCTTGCCTTGAAGACCTTGGCACCCCAGGGGTGGGATATGATCCTCCTCTTGAAAGTACAGAACTCAGGTCAGCCAAACTGCCCCTCTGCTACCACTATTTTTTTTCTAGTTATTTTTATTGTTTTATTTTTATTATTTCGTTCTATTTATATGAGAGACAAAAGGCTCCCATCTGCTGCTTTATTCCCCAAAAGGCCCTCCATGGGCCCAGTTTGGCCAGGCCAAAGCTGGAAACCAGGAGCTCGGTCTGCAGCTCCCAAGTTACTGCAGTGCCATGACTTGCTGCTCATGAACAAGAAGCTGGGGTAGGGAATGGAGCTGGGGTTTGAACCCTAGTGTTCTGATGTGGAAAGTGGATGTCCTAATGGGTCCCTTCACAGCTGCTCTGGATGCCCACCCCCCACTAGGAAATATATGCCAGTGTCTCCTTTTGGCTCAGAGACAGATGTTAACCCTCTGGTGTCTACTCTCACACAGCCCCTCGGGGCAAATAGTCCCCCCAGCAGCTCACAAAGCTTTAGCTGCTTCCCGGAGGGGCCAGAAGCAAGACTGCAGCCCAGGCCTGTCTAGGCTTATGCCAGACCATCTTTCTTAAGGAGAAGTAAGCAGGACCAATGAGGAGGAAGTGGGAGTGCACAGCACGGTGGGGTACTCACTTGTAGACCAGACAGGCAAGCCCTACAGCCATCAACACCATCAGGAGCCCAACAAACAGAGGAGCCTGCCCCAGACCTGTTTCTTGACCTATGGGCAGAACCCCAACGCTTTACTCGGCATCTGTTCCCAGCCAGCTGGCCTCTGCCCACTCCCCTTGTCTTATCCCAGACACCTACCAGGCATGACAAGCTGGGTGCTGACCATGGCCAGACTGTTGGCATCAGCCAAAGACACATTGAGACAGTAGATTCCTGAGCCACCATTCAGTACCTGGTGCAGAACCAGCTGGCAGGCTGGGCTGGGTGGCACAGGCTGGCATAGCCGCTGGGCAGGGGGCTGGCACCCTGGTGATGAGATGTCCATACATGCTTCGTTGGGCAGCCTGGAAGAGGTGTTGGTTTGTGAGATGAGATGGGACACTAGAGAAGGGAGCAATAGCAAACCCAAGAGGGATCAGGACAACCTGCAGGACACTCACCCGCCTTGGCAGGAGACAGTCAGTTCAAATGCATCCCCCTCACTGGATGGCACGGCCTGCAGGATCTCTGCATTCTCAATGCCCTCTGCAGAGATGCAAAGTTAAAACTGGGGTCCCCCTAGCAGACCACCCCAAAAGCCCATGGACTAGGAAGCCCTAGGGCTTCTTGTTTAGTCCCATCCTCATGTCTTCAGATGAGGACCGTGGCACTCAGGGATTCCTCCTCTCCAGGTAGGTAATCCCCCTGGCCATCCCCAAGTAACACACACCTCCCTCCTCCATCCCCTAAAGTAGCCGAGACTCACGGACAATGTTGAGGCTGAGGGCATAGGAACCATAGCGATACAGCACACAGTCCAGGGGCGCTTGTCTCTTTACCAGCACTAGGGAGGCCGTGTCATTCAGTACAGGGCTGCTCAGGGAGTCTGGCAAGAGAATGTTGAAGAGGGGAAGTCAGAGGCAGAGGCCACACAAGCAGGGTTTTTATTTTTTTCTTTTAAATATTTTAATTTTATTTTTTATTGGAAACTCAGATATACAGAGAGGAGGAAAGACAGAGAGGAAAGATCTTCAGTCCGTTGATTCACTCCCCAAGTGGTCGCAATGGTTGGAGCAGAGCCAACCCAAAGCCAGGAGTCCAGGGCCTCTTCTGGGTCTCCCACTTGGGTGCAGGGTCCCAAGGCTTTGGTCCATCCAAGACTGTTTTCCCAGGCCACAAGCAGGGAGCTGAATGGGAAGTGGGGCTGCTGGGATTAGAACCGTTGCCCATATGGGATCCCAGTGTATTCAAGTCAAGGACTTTAGCTGCTAAGCCACCAAACCAGGCTCCAGTGTTTTGTTTTGTTTTGTTTTCTTAGAGATTACTATTTTTCTTAATATTTATTTTTATTGAAAAGGCAGATTCACAGAGAGGAGAACTAGAAAAAGATCTTCCATTTGCTGAATCACTCCCCAAGTAGTAGCAACACCCAGAACTGAGCCAATCTAAAGCCAAGAGCCAGGAGCTTCTTCCAGGTCTCCCACATGGGTACAGGGTCCCAAGGCTTTGGGCCGTCCTCTATTGCTTTCCCAGGCCATAAGCAGAGAGCTGGATTTGAAGTAGAGCAGCTGGGACACCAACTGGCACCCATAAGGAATCCTGGCACTTTCAGACAGTTGAGCCATTGCATCAGGCGCATCTTGTCTGATTTCCAAGTCAGTGACTCAAGATTCTGGGAACTCAGCTCTGCCTGGAAAACTACTTGCTTGGTTGGGGCCAGCATGATGGCCTGATTGGCTAATCCTCCCCCTTCAAGTGCTGGGATCCCATATAGGTGCCAGCTTGTGGATTTGTGTCCTGCATCCATGTGGGAGGCAAAGAAGAAGCTCCTGACTCCTGGCTCCTGGCTCCTGGCTTTGAATTGGCTCGGCTCGGCTCCAGCCATTGCAGCTACTAGGGAAGTAAACCAGTGGATGGAAGATCTTTAAAAAAAGAAGAGGAGGAAAGGAGAAAAAAAAAAAACAGACTTGGAAAATCTCTCTTTATACTCAGAAAAGGGAATTGAGTCTCTGAAGAAGAGTTGGAGTTTTTAAACAATCCTAGATATCTGTCGCACTCTGTGGTGTGCCAGGTCCCTGGCTAGACACTCAGCATACATTAAGCCACTGAGGCAGCTCTAACCCAGGGCTCCCTTTCTGCTTTGGGATGGGAATCCAGGGATCTGAGACTTAGAACCTAGTGAGGGTTCTGTGCATTTACACTTCAAGAAGTGAGATGGAAGTGTCCTATCAGTGATCATGTGTGTCCCTGTCCCTCCCAGCAGTTCTTCTCAGGGGCTCAGAAGCAACAAACTCCTCCTGACCTTGGGGATAAGTGATCAGTTCCGTCACTAGGATTCAAACACTTTACAGCCAGTGAGGGTTTTAGGTGGACCATGGTGCCAAGCAAAGGATTGGTTAGTGTCAGGATCCTGGGTAAGACTTCAGAGTAGGCGGGTGGCAAACACCCAACCTTAATGTACCTTCTTCGCGCTGAAGCTCTTACCTGCAATAACTTCTGTGGGCACAAGTGGGCTGGCGCCTGGAGCCTCGGGCTCTAAGGTGGCTAATTCTCCAGCTGTGCGGTCTACCAGCCCCGTGGTAGCTACCTGTGCAGCTGTAGTTCCAGCGAGTTCTGAGGTCCACACCACCACAGGTGTCGTCCCAGGACCCTCTGCAGGTGTGGTGCCCGTGACTTTCGAGGTTGATGACTGCTGGGTTGTAGCACCTGCACCCCCTGTGGTTGGCACCTGCCCAGCTGTGCTTCCAGAGGGTTCTGTAGTAGGTCCCTGACCAGGTGTGGTACCTACAACTTCTGCAGTAGGTACTTGCCTAGCTGTGGTGCCAGGGGCATCTGAAGTTGGCAGGTGCCCATCAGTGGTACCTGGAATTGGGGAGGAGCCACAGGAGCTGAGAGGGATGGCTGCCTGCAGCACCACGTGGGCAGTGACAGGGCCAGGCACCAGGTAAGTGTGAGTGACCACAAGTGCTCGAGAGATCAGGGTTCCAGTGTCATCTCCAAAGTTCCAGGTGTAGGAGAGGTCAGCACCATCCAAATAGCCACTGGGGTCGTGGAGCTGGATGGCGAAAGTCAGAGGCTGGTTTCTCAGGAAGTGCTTGTTCTCACCATCCAAGGCCTGCAGCTGGGACACACTTACAGAGAAGGGCACCTGGTCTGGGATTAGAGCCAGAGAAGGTGAGAACCAGGCCCAAGCCCCAGACTCACCACACCCTCTGGCCCCAAGCCCACCCACAAGCCCTTCACAGATTCAAAGGCATACATTTCTCTGTCCAGATCTTTCTGGCCCTACTACCCCTATAAGTTTGCACACCATGTCCCCTTCTTCCTTTCTCATCCTTCCATTTTCTAGCCCTATCACTGGCCGTAAATCCTCACCGGTGATGGTGAAGGCGGAGCTGGAGTAAGCGAGGGGCACATAGCTGCGGGGCCCCCGGTGGTGGTAGACGGTCACCTCCATGGTGTGTGAGCCCAGCGTTGCCTGGCCTGACCCAATGCTCAGCCTGGACACTGGGCCCCCTAGAACTTGCCAGTACTGGCCTGAGGTTTTAGGAAGGAAAAGCAAGGAAAAGAGAATTACTAGCCATAAGGGACTGAGGGGGTAGAAATTAGCAATGGGGTACCGGAGAAGGGAGGCCAGGAAGTATGTGGAGGAAAACTGCATTCTGGGACCTTTAAAAGGCTGTGTTGCATGGGGACTGGGCAGGGATCCAATGGAGGGATCCTTGGGGCTAAACTTAAGTATGGGTTGCTAGAAAGCAGTTAGGACTGATTTGCAGGAGCCCTAGGTGCTGTGGAGGTAGAAGGAGCCAAGAGGGGAAACAAAAATTACAGAAAAATTAAGGAGCATGAACCAAAATAATGGAGATGAGGTGGGAAGAAGAGAATGCAAATGAGGGCGATGGATGAGAGAAGGGAGCTCCTCACCCCAGGTCTTCCAGACATATACGAAGCTTCTCCTCTGAGACACAGGGCCAGCTGGGCAGGGTCCACCATCCGGGAAGATGCAGCTGTCGTCAGACTCCTCGGGGTACACTGGCTGGCCTCCCCACACGTTGCTTCCTGAAGGGTCAACATGGGGGATGCCCTCTAAATCCAGCTTTCTTTTATATATATCGGTGTCCCTACACTGGCTCCTGGGGGGACAGGGAGGAGTCTTAGGAATCCTCGCTAGCCAGTGCATACAACCTCCAAAGCACCCCTACTGGGAGTGGGAGCCAGGGGCCGAGGGAGCCTAGAACACACAGTTTAAGACTCGTGTGGATATATGTACATAATCAAGACATTGGAAAGCCATCTATTAATGTTTAGAGTGATCTGCTCCATCTGTAAGTGAGATTAAACAAAAAATAACAGCTCCAGCTAACATTTATTCAGTTTTAACTGCAGGCTAGGCTAGAGCCAACCCTGCACTAACTGTTTTACATGTTATCCTGTGTTCATCGCTATCATATCTCTCAGGCAAGGCGCCATCCTCACATTATAGACAAGGAGTCTCCCATTTGAGGAACTATGATGGTTTTTTTTTATTTGCATTTTTCACTTTGATTTCTAAGTGCATGCATTACATATATGAAATATGTTCAAAATAGATGACATTCCGAGCCCACTGGGGACAGCAGGGAGTCTGGGCCTTTAGCACCAGGGCCTGGGTAGACAGGTACTCACCATTGACGACAGAGTCATTGGCCCAGACAATCTGCCCATCTGGCAGGACCTTTTGGCTCTCCGGGAAGTGCAGGGCGATAGAGAAGGAGACATTTGCTCCGATCAGGGTAGGTCCATCATTGATAACTTCTAGGGCCACTTGGCCACCTGCAAAGGGAAGCCCCATTAGCTCCTCTCCCCACCTACCTTCCTACCCAGACCTTATTTTTTAAGATTTGTTTATCAGGGCTGGCATTGTGGCACAGCCATTTAAGCTTTAGCCTGTGACTCCAGCATCCCACATACATGGCAGTTAAACACTGCTTCAGCTCCAGCTTCATGTTAATGCAGGCAGCAGAGGATAGCCCGGGTCTTTAGGCTATATCCATGTGGGAAACCCAGACGAAGCTCCTAGCTCTTGGCTTCAGCCTTCACTCACCAGATGGGCCCAACAGCTGGGGCTGGGACAGGCCAAAGTCAAGAACCTGTAATTCCATTAGGTCTCCCATATGGAGGGCAGGAGCCCAAAGTTTTGAGCCATTTTCTACTGTTTTCTGCTTTGTAATCTAGCAAGGAGCTAGATTACAAAAGGAGCAGCTGGGATTCCAGCCAGTGCTCCCACATGGGATGATAGCTGTGAAAGCAGTGGCTTAAGCCAACGTGCCACATGGTGCTGTGCCCCCCCACACACTTTATTAAAATTTTAATTATTAATTATTTATTTATTTTAAAGGCAGATTGATAGAGGGCAAGGTGTGAGAGAGAGCCCTCCCATCTGCTGGATCATTCCCCAAGCTACACACAGGAACCAGGAACTCCATTCAGCTCTCCCACATGGGTACAGGGAGCCCAGAGCTCAGGCCATTATCCACTACCTTCCTAGGCACAGGGGAACTGGGTCAGTAGCAGAATAGCCAGGGGTCCAATGGGCACTGAGGATCCGTGACCCGCCAGCCCCTGTTCCTATTGTTCTTCCACCCCATTCCTCTTGGGTCCCCTCCCAGAATTTCTTACCTCTCCAGCAGTCAGAGCCCTGGACTTCTGTCCACTCTGGATACAGCTGCCGGTTCCAGGCTTTGGTTCTGAGCTGCCTTGAGACACCACGCCACTCCTGGTCGGTGGGTCCTAAAAGGAATGTGCCACAAATGTCCTGGGAACCACCTCACTCAGTGCCTTTTTAGGAATCACACTGTATTCCATGTCACTCCACTCATTTTCATGTTCAGATTGCATTTTTTTGGTGGACATCTACCATACACTAGACACTGTTCTATGTACCAAGAATATTTTTAAAGATTAAAGATATATTTACTTATTTGAAAGGCATAGTGAAAAACATAACCAAATGGCGGCAACAGCCAGGCCTGGGGCAGGAAGAAGCCAGGAGCCAGGCCTCCCACATGTGTGCCAGGGGCTCAGTACTCAAGCCCCAATCTGCTGTTCGGCACGTTTAGCAGCAAGCTGCATCTGAAGCATGAGATATCAGGATTCCAAGCGGCACTCCCCTATGTGAAGCAGGTGTCTCAAGCAGCAGCTTAACCTGCCATACCGCATTACCTGCCCCAGAGGCACAAAGAATTTAAGCAATGAACAAGATATGTCCCTGAAAGAATTTAGAGTGAAATGTAGAAAACAGATATGTATGTAAGTTATTACAATTGCAACCTTTTAAAATTTGTTGGAGAAGCAGAGAGATACAGTGATAGCTACCATCTGCTGGTTCAACTATCTAAATGCCCACACCAGCTCCCGGTCTGGGCCAAAGCGAGGAGCTGGGAAATCAGCTTAGATCTCCCATGTGGATGGCAGAAAGGCCACGAGGGCAGGTAGTGAGAAGGAGGAGGGCCAAGAGAATGTGCAAGGGGAAACAGACCTATGGTGGCCCGCCGTAGTTCCTCACCCAGATCCAACAACCCCCATTCTGCCGTATCGGTTGGTTTTATCTACTTTTACCGGTAGTTGTTCTTATTTTGGGCTAAAAGACCTTTTCAAAAATGTATAGACACTTTGTCATTTGAACCCTACATGCTCCATATGTATCTGCAAGAAGACAAATCTTTCCATAAACACAATGTCATTTGACACTAGACAAAATTCCCAAGCTGAAGGCTCTGAAAATTCCAAGACTATCTAGAAGCAAAGCCTTCTCACAACTCTCAAAAGCAAGATCAAGATGTTAGCACTGTCTCCCTAGAACCTCAAGTGTGTGGCTGAAAAGGATGCTTCCAGAAGGTGGAGGGAAAAGCAAGACTGGAACTGTAGTGCTAACCAAGGAGTGAGCTTCAGAAGAACGTTCGCCCAGTCTGAGAGCAGGCAGCCAGGCAGGAAGAGCAAGGCACTGGGATGTGGTGCATGGTGCACACAGCACAAGCCACCATCACCTGCCCTCTCCCATGTGTGCTGGCAGTACGGCTGACTCACGGGGCGGGGAAGCTCTGGAATCTTCCATGGAGCATCTCCACACCAGAGAAGTCATGAGATGCCCCATTTGCCCTCCACCTCCCGCCCACCCCCCTCCTTGGAGCAGCACGGGACATTCCAGACCCTCTCACCACCTCCCCCCCCCCCACTCCTCGCTCTTGTCACGAGGTCCCAATCCCCCGAGCTCTTTCATGTGATGCTCAGCTGAGACCCCCTCTGCCTGTCTTTCCCAGCTCTAGAACAAAAGGTCTGGGCTGCGCACACTCATCCCCACCCCAGAGGAGCAGGAAAGTGGTGCCTCCTTACCCAGTCTTCTTACCCAATACCACATTCACTTCCTTCCCACCTTAAACCTCCTAGTCTAGGTATCAGACCTCCAAGAGTGCTCCCCCACAACATACACCATTTCACTGCTTTAGATTCCCTGTTCCAGTTCCCGATCCGAGCGGTCTATGAATGAGTGCTGTAAAAATCCACTATTCTCCCGTTTCTCTGAGAAGATGGGATTTTCGTGCTCAACCCCAAACCTCCACATTGCAGAGGAAGCTCAGGCACTCACATCTTCACCAAACCAAGCACAGGGGAGATGCCTGCAGTGTGTATCTCCCAGCTTGATGGAGGGGTGACCACCAGGACAGGGGTGCACCTTCCAATCCACACCTGCTCCTGTCCATACAGCCACACTCACCTTCTGTGGCCCCTGCAGCCAGCAGGACACTCATCCCAGCCAGATGGAGGAGGCACCTTCTCAGCATCAGGACCATCTTGCTCTTCCCTCCTCTCCAGCAAGCAAAGGCGTTGGGGGGCTAGACCAAGCCCCTATATAAGAAAGGGGTGTGCATTTGCATAGCCCTTCCTACTTTCTCTTCAGAGGAGGCCTGGGAGGGGCCTGGCAGGACTGGAGAAGGGGGCTGAACGGAGGAGGGATCCTGGATCCTTGGCCAACCCACCCTGCTACCCAGCACTGGGGTCACTGTCATCCTGCCACGTTGGCAAAAGACGGCCACCAAACGCCAACGGGAGACACACACAACCATTCTTGGGAGAGGGAAAGGAGCCGTGGAGTTGAACTAGGAACCCCCACGTCCCCCAAACAGTGAGACAGCTCTCCGGACAGGCTAGCGGCCGAGGCGAGGACTCCTTCTCCAGGCCCAGACACCACCCCCACCCCCACCCCCACCAAGGGTAGTAGTTTGCTGCTACACGGAAAGCAGTTGAATGTAATTAAGACACATTTTCCCAGGGGTTGGAGGAAACAAGAAGCGAGAAGAGTTCCTCAGCCTAGGGACGCAGGTAGGCAGCTCGAGGCCAAACCACCAGTTTTGAGGGGGAAAGGGGTTCGGTCACCCCGCGGATGGGCAGTCGAGTCTCCGCCCTCCGAAACAAACTTTGCGCGGGGCGGGACCGCCCGCTGGCCCGCCCCCTGACGCCAGCCAATCGGCAGCGTCGGGGGCGGGGCCCGAGAAACGCGGGAAGGAGAGGCGGGGCCTGTGGTGGCGGTCGCTAGTTGGGGTGGGGGGAGGCGGCAACATTGTTTCAAGTTGGACAAATTGACAAGAGCGAGAGATACACGGCGTTCCATCGCGACCCCGGGCCTCGGTGCTGGGTCCGGTATCCTGCTCGGACGCCCACGAGAGCCCGGGCCCGCTTTCTGCAGGGTTCCCAGGTCCCGGCACCCCAGCTCCACGGCCGGGGCTGACCCGGCTCGCTTAGCGCTTCATGGAGAACTTCCAAAAAGTGGAAAAGATCGGAGAGGGCACGTACGGGGTGGTGTACAAAGCCAAGAACAAGTTGACGGGAGAAGTGGTGGCGCTCAAGAAAATCCGGCTGGACACGTGAGTGGCCTTTGCACCCAGGACGGGGAGAGGTGGACCCTTCCTTGGGGAGCTCCTGGACACCTCTTTCCCTCCCCACACCCGCCACCGCGCGCCCCAACAGGCGTGTAGCCGTCCCAGGACCGGAAGGGAACAGGGAGGGACTGCGTTTGAAGTGGGAGAGTAGGTGGGGAGGACTGTACGGAGTTTCTCCCGGGAGAGGACGGGATGGCGTGCAATCTGTGGACAGTTTCTGATGCCCCCGAAATGTACAATCTCAAGAGACTCAGAGGAGAGAAAGCAGGCCTCTGGGATGGCGGGGGAGAGGGTATCCGGGAGGCCCCACAGCGTTGGGGGCTGTGAGAAGCAGGAAAGAGCGCTTTTCTCAGTGCCCAGCCCTCCGCACTGCCCCAACTCCACTCGGAATTCTCTGGCTCTCTCCGAAGAATGTCAGTTGAACCTCACTGGCCCCCTCTGGGGAGGTTGAAAGCTCCTCCCACTTTTTTTTTTTTCTGTTACCTCTCACCTTCACTTGAAAGCCTTACTTAACATGCCTCAGGGAAGAGGGACTGGGGATCTTCGGGCATCCCAGAGCTTTGCCCTGAATACCCAGAAATTAACTCCCTACCAAATACTTTGCTCCCACTTTCCTAGGGGATGCCAGGGGCTGGTGGGAAAAAAAGCAGGATGGGGGTTGGGGCCAGTATTTTAACCAACTTTCCCTCTCTACTTTCTCCACTTTTACAAGTGAGACTGAGGGTGTACCTAGCACCGCCATCCGGGAGATTTCCCTGCTGAAGGAGCTTAACCACCCGAATATAGTCAAGTAAGTGGGGGTCTGAGGTGAGGGCAGGAGGGGAGGACGAGGCTCCCAAGAAGCAGGACTGTTCTTAGCTTCTGTTTGCATCTCATTCCCTAGGCTGTTAGATGTCATCCACACCGAAAACAAACTGTACTTGGTGTTTGAATTTCTGCACCAAGACCTCAAGAAATTCATGGACGCCTCTGCCCTCACTGGCATTCCTCTTCCCCTCATCAAGGTGATCCTCTGTGTGATCATTTGTTATCTGGGCCCTCCTCCGAGGGCCCTCATCCCCCACCTGCCAGCAGCCCCGTACTCTCTTGATTCTTTCCCTGCTCATTATGCTCATTAGCCCTAGGGTTGGGCTGAAGAATCAAAGTTGAAACCCTTTGAGTCAACCCAGGAGCTCAGCTGGGAGGTCAGATGAAACTCAGATAAATGGGAATTGGCCTGTTCTGGGAGAGATTTTCTCCAAAAGGCACTCCGAAAACCTTTGTAGTCTGTTGTAGAGTTGGGTTCTTCACTCCCGGGCTGACTTTCCAGCTGGCAGCTGCTGTTTGTTCAATGCCCTGGGTAGTAAACCTTCCCTGTGTAGGTACAGTATGAGCCAGCCTGATCCTCCTGGAACTGGCAGGCTGGAGGCAGAAATAGCTGGTGGACATGTAACTAAAGACATAGTATCTATAAGTGGAGCTGGGTGGGGGAGGGGCAAATCCCTATGCATTCTTCGTGATGGAGTATAACTGCCCCTTCTTCCCCTCTGTTAGAGCTATCTGTTCCAGCTGCTACAAGGCCTGGCTTTCTGCCATTCCCACCGAGTGCTGCACCGGGATCTAAAACCGCAGAATCTCCTCATCAACACAGAGGGGTCCATCAAACTGGCCGACTTCGGACTTGCCAGAGCCTTTGGAGTGCCTGTTCGGACTTACACCCATGAGGTAAGTCCCCACGGGCCCCCATTGCTGTCTCTGTCACTCTGCTGCTTTTTGTCTGTGAGCTCTCCAGCAGGTATGAACCAGGACGTTCACAAAGCAACTGCAAATACCTGGCCAGCAGTTTGTCTCTTAGTAGAAGGCAGGATGTCATTTAGAAAGGTCCTGGCAAGTGCACCTAGTTTCTATGATTGTGCTAACTGGGCTTTTTTTTTTTTCCTTTAACATTTATTTTTATTGGGCAAGCAAATTTATCAAGAGGAGAAACAGATCTTCCATCTGCTGGTTCACTCCCAAAATGGCCATAACAGCCAGAGCTGGCATGATCCAAAGCCAGGAGCCTTTTCTAAGTGTGTCACATGAGTGCAGGAACTCAAGGCCTTGGGCCATCCTCCTCTGCTTTCCCAGGTGCATTAGCAGGGAGCTGGATGGGAAGTAGAGCAGCCAGAGCATGAACCAGCACCTATATGGAATGCTTGCGCATGCAGGTAGAGGATTAGCCAGTTGAGTCATCATGCCCTGGGTTTTTTTTTTTTTTTCTTTTTAAAAATGTATGTATTTGAAAGGCCAAGTGACACGGAGAAAGAGAGATGGAGGGAGAGAAAAAGACCGAGAAAAGATCTTCCCTCCTCTAGTTCACTCTTCAAATAGCCACAATGTCCAGAGCTGGGCCAGTCAAAAGCCAGCAGCGTGGAACTCCAGCCAGGTCTCCCGCCTCAGGGAGCGAGCGCCACCATTCACTGCTTTTCCAGACGTGTTAGTGGGCGCCTGGATCAGAAGTCTGGCAGCTAGAACTCCACCCAGCACTCCCCTGTGGGATGCAGCTGTCACTGGGAATGGCTTAATCTACTCTACACGGGCTGGCCCCTGGGCTTTTTCTAAGACAGGATAGCTGGAGGGCACAGTACTGTAGAAAGGATTATTTGTCCCAAGTCTTCTAGGAAAATCCCAGATTGGGGTTTCAGGAAAACATACTCCCAGGAGCCGTGGACTAGGCTAACTCTTGGCTAAGAAGCTGCGTGACATTGCATCCCATAGGTAAATACAAGGGAGCAGGGGAGGCTGGAGTGAGGAAATGGCTTATTTTTTAAAAGGCAAGAGTCAGCAAGGTGGAGTAGAGAAGTGGCAATCTCCGGGCCTAAGAAACCCATCCTTGTCCCTGTTGTTGTCTACCAGGTGGTGACCCTGTGGTACCGAGCACCTGAGATCCTCCTGGGCTGCAAATACTACTCCACCGCCGTAGACATCTGGAGCCTGGGCTGCATCTTTGCTGAGATGGTATGGAGGGTCGCCTGGGTTCCGCCCGGCCCGCCCTACCTGCTTGTCTGCAGAACAGAGTTGCCTCTTGGCCTGGGCCCGTGGCCTTTCTTTCCATGGGTTCTCTTGAGTAGTGTCAAGGTGGGTGGTGGGGAAAGGACAGGACTGTGGCCCCAATAGCAGCCCTGTGCCCACACAGACTCTCTTCACCCTGAAATAGGTTCATCCTTTCTGCAGGGAGTGGTTCCCGCACGTGGCCTCTAGACCTTGCTGTAATGCGCCAGGCAAGGAGAGAGCTAGCTGTGTTCCCTTGACCCACACACCCTTCATTACACTTGTATTTTTTTTTTCTTAAGATTTTTTTTTTTCTTAAGATTTATTTGACACAGATCTTGCCTCTGTTGGTTCACTCCCCCAAGTGGCTACAACAGCCAGGGCTGGGTTGTTCTGAAGCCAGAAGCCTGGAGCTTCTTCCATTCTCTCCCATGTGGGTGCAGAGGCCTAGGCACTTGAGCCATCTAGTACAGCTTTTCCAGGCAAATTAACAGAAAACTGGATTGGCCCATGTGGAACGCCAGGGCTGCAGATGGCTGCTTTATCCCCTATGTCATCGTGCCAGGCCTCAGTCTAACTTTGCTCACGCCCCCCTCTCAACCTCTGGCTTTTGGAGTGAAAGATCCCTGCGGCCCAGCTGTCAGAGGGAGTTCCCACTCCTCTTTCCATTTGGCCTAGGAATGGCTGAATCTAGGAAGTGGAGTAGGCTGAATCTTCGATTCAATCAGCCATTGTGTTCTGAGGTTCTTTATCAGGGTTGTCACTGGGGAGGCCCTAATCTATACATACAACCTATACGCTATCCCTAGTGCATTACCTTACAGTTGCCTGTGTTCCTTTCTGAATTCATCAATAAATATTTGTTAAGCACCTAGTGTGTGCCCAGCACCATGCTGGGCGCCCTGGGGAACACAGAAGAAATGGAAGACACAGTCTGTGCCCGCTGTGCTCCTATCTAGAAGTGGCCGCGTTACATGGAAGGGGCATGATCGCAGTGTCTACCCCACATCCCGTGAGTGGCTTGGGATCCCTTCACTGCGTGTCAGTGGCTCCCCAGACAGTCACCCTCTCCCAGCCCCACCCAGCCTTGGGGATCTGGAAGGCCACGGTTGGGGGAAGGAAGGAGGGGCGAGAAGACTGTTGAAGGGACTTCATTGTCTCAGGCCGTGTGTGACTGACCCCGTGCGAGGCCCTTGGGGAGGGAGTCATGGGGCCCTGCTGACCTTCCACTGCCTGTGGGAGCCTCCCCGTGCGGAGGAGACCGTTGGGACTGACGTCATTGCGGGTTTGGGCCTTTCCTCTTTGCCCGGTTTCAGGTGACCCGCCGGGCCTTGTTCCCTGGTGACTCTGAGATTGACCAGCTGTTCAGGATCTTTCGGACACTGGGGACCCCGGATGAGGTAGTCTGGCCAGGAGTCACTTCCATGCCAGATTATAAGCCGAGTTTCCCCAAGTGGGCACGGCAGGATTTTGGCAAAGTGGTGCCTCCCCTGGATGAAGATGGACGGAACCTGTTATCGGTGAGGATGGGGTATGGGGATCAGGAACCTCCCCTCATTTGTGCCCCCCCAGGAGAGGGGAAGCCCCTGGACCCCAGGGTTGTGCCTTCCCCTCACCCCCTGCTTTCCCTTGCTATGGGAGGGGAACAGCTGTGTGACCTGCTTGGTCCACTTTCTTCACGTCTCTGAAATAAGCCTGTATCTCTCCCTCCAGCAAATGTTGCACTATGACCCCAACAAACGGATTTCGGCTAAGGCAGCTCTGGCTCACCCCTTCTTCCAGGACGTGACCAAGCCAGTGCCACACCTCCGGCTCTGAGACGTCGTTGCCCAAGTTCTTATACCCCCAACCCCACAGTGTCACCCTGTCCTCTGGTATGGGCCTGACCCGGCTGGGCCCTCCCTGGCTATTAGGACTCTAGTAGTCCTCTGATCTTGTTCGGCAACCTTCACCTTCACCTTCCACTCTTGGCCTGCCGACTTTGGGCAGAAAAGGGCTGAGGGGAGGAATAGGTGAGAATGAAAGGAAGGTGCAGCATTATACGCACTTAGGGCAGTGCCCACCACTCTCGGCCCTCCTGGCAGTCATTCCTGAGAAAAGGGCTAGTATTGAAAAATACCGGAACTGCCTGTCCCCTCCCCGCAACAAGTTTGTCATCCCAATTTCTGAAAGCCCCATAATTCTGATTTCTCAAATTTGAGTTGACAGGGACCATCTAGACTCCTGCTGACATCATTTTTGTAAAGGTTCACCACCAACAGGGAGTTACTTTGGAGCGTTGGAGAACCAAGCCAAACGAAATCATGGGGAGGGATCGGTTGTAAAGAAGTCAGGTGCAAACACAGATCAGTCATTTTACACCCTGCTTGGTTACGGCTTTACCTCACGAAACGACAGGTTGGTAGACTCAGGACTGGGTCCCAGTGAGGGGCTGCAGAAGAAATGACTGCCCCCCATCCCTTGTCCCTCTCTCCATCCCTTCCACCGGCCGGAGCAATCTGAAAGGCTCTAAGACAGGACTGTGCCCCACTCCCATCCATTACAGCCTCGTGAGGCCAGTGAGAGGTGTCTGGGCTTTTCCCTTTAGGAGTCTCAGCTGTCTTAGTTGCCCTGCTCCCATCCTCCTCTGAAGGCCCCAGCCCATCCCACCGGAGAGTCAGGGTCTAGATACCCTTTTGAGAATGCGACACTTTCAGGGCTGTAATTGAGTAAGGACCTTGAGAAAGTATATTTCTTTAACAAGGAGGAATAATTATATTTATATTTCAGGTTACCATAGTTTTTAAATAAGAGTGGGTGGATTTTTTTTCTTTTGCCATGTGCACCTTGGGGTTTTGTAACGCAGATGTTAAAATGTTTTCCTTTTTATGATTTTCCCTTTTTCTCTCCCACCTCTTGTCCTTGAGTGCCCTTACTATTAACATTATTTGTGATTTCATATTTCATTAAAAAGAAAAACAAAAAAGCAAAATTCCTTGTTTTGTGGTCCATTTCTTCTCCTGTAGTATTTGAAGAATGGTGTGAAAGGGACTATATAGGTGTAAATTGTGGTCTTTGGGTTTTAGACATGTCTTCCTAATCTCTAGGCAGAGATACTCTACCGTCCCACTTTGGCCATCTCGCCTTGCACTTGCTAGTGGGAACTGTACCTAAGGTGCGTGAAGTGGTACTGCACCCATTTTACGGCTGGGGAAACTGAGGCCCATGTGTTTCCCTTAAAAAGTTCTTTAACATTTGCTGACAATTCGAAAAAACTCATTGCGAAGGGGCTTCAGCCTTTCCAAGCGGTAGCTTTTTTTTTTTTTCTTGTTTTTTGGGGGCCTGCCATTGTCCGTCTCCCCTCTCAGCCCGCCCACAGGCCACGCCGCCAGCTGCCGTCCTCAAAAGCCCCGCCAAGTGGAAGCAGCGCTGACTTGCGGGCTCGGTCCACTCCCCGTCCCCAGGGGAGGCCTTTCCCGGGGCGCCCGCGTAGCTGTCACAGAGGGCGGGGCGACGGAGTCAGCCCCCCGCCAAATCCAGGGGGAGGGGCGGAGGTCAGTAACGGCCTCCCCGGGATTTCGTTCAACCCCGCCTGGCCTGCCAGTCAAGTCCCGAAGTTCCGCAGGACTGGCTAGAGTCTGACTTTGACCCGCCTCCGTCACTCACCTGATTAGATGTTTATGAGTCAAAAGGCGGGGGTCATGGGGTGTCGAGACTTCGTTGGTTGATGCGTACGTCTGTCCACGACGGACCGCCCCCTGTCTCCCGGGAGCTCGCTTTTGAACGGCCCGTCGCTTCGTCCATCTTCCAGGTTCCTCTCCTCCCTATTGGCTGATGACTCTGCCTGTCCAGTCCCTGGCTCGTATTCGTTGGCGACAGCCCCCGAAGAGACTCGCCTTTCTCCAGAGGATTGGTGGATGAGTGCACAGAGAGCCCACCTTCGATGGTGGGCGGGTCATCGTGCTATTGGTCGGGGCCCCCGCCCCAGGGCGAAGAGGAGGAGGAGGAGGGGCAGGAGGTTTGGTTGAGCCGCAGCTGTTTGTCTGTTCGACACAGGCTTGGGCCCGACGGGGGAGACGGAGCCCCAGGTACCGGGCTGATGGAGCCCACAAGGGCAGAGGCAGAGACGCCTTAGGCGATGAGAGCGTCCGAGGCGGGTGTGGGCCAAAGCGAGGGGTTAGAGAGTGGCCCAGTGGAGACGGGGAGAAGGGGGCCGGCCCCCGGCAGGCCTAGTGGGGGCGCTGAGGAGGGGACCGGGCGGGCTTGGGAGCCTCAAGTTAGGGAGGCGGCGGTGGAGCCGGGGGCCCGGGAGCCCGGAGGCCCGGAGCCCGGGTGAGAGGGCAGGGGCAGGCCTCATTACTCATTAAGCAGCGCTGACGAGGGAGGAGCTGGGGAGGGGGGAGGGGAAAAGGGACGGGGCAGCGGGTGAGGTAAGCCCCTTTTTGCCGGGAGGCGAAGAGGGGTCCCCGAGGGTCGCCGGGGTGTCTGGAGAGAGGTGTCTGATGGGGCTTGGATGTAAGCAGGCGTTCTCTTCAGGGCAAGTGGCGATTGGGAAGAGAGTCGCGGAGGGTGCTGTAGTGCTGAGAGGATTTGGGCTCCGTGAGGGAGAACTGAGACGGACTGAGGAAAGCTCTGCAGTTCTCCAGAACCGAGGGAGCTGAGAAAACGGAAGCAGGGCCTGCTGTCCCTTGTGGGCATGCTGACGGGTGGGCTGGGCGCCGGGCCTTGCGAGTAGTACCCATTCTTTTGTTCCCTTGAGTGTCTTGCTGTGGCAGTTGGAATTTTTTTCATCCTCCCAGACTAGGTTATGAAGAAAGAAGGACTTTTTTTTTAAATTATATTCCCCCCCCCCCCCCATGACTGTTGACTGCTGCTGCTTCAAGCCCTCTTGGCACTTTCTCTTCGTCCGGCCCTAGGTTGCAGTCTCTGTTTGTTACCTACCGATTCTGGGCTTGTGAAAGAAGTTGGTAACTGGGCAATGTTGGTGTTCAGTTCTTTGCCACTAAGTGATGAGGTCTGCAGGATAGAAATGGACGATGGTTTCATGATGCGAGGAGCTTGGGAGGTGTTCCTCACCATCAAGAGAGAACTCTGATCCTTGTTGGTGGAAACTTATGTGGGACTCAAGACTCGGGTATTTCCTGGTCAGGTGCAGCAGTTAGCCAGGTCTGGAATGGTGAGGTGACCTCACCAAGGAAGAGATTCAGAGAAGAATGAGAAGTTCCATTCCAGAAGGTTGGCATCACCCGTTTGTCCTTTTTGTCTGCTTCTTCTGGGACCCAGATTTCTGTGCTGTGAGAAAAGTTAGTGAAGCCAGGAGATCCTTGTGGAACAGAGGAAAAAACAAGGTGAATTAGCAAGGCAGAGGAATGGAATGGGCCACTGATCTAGTCCCTCATAAATTGGAGCCTAATGGATTTTCCCCCATATTGGACTTCCTTGTTTTAGACCAGTGTATTTTATCACTACATTCCTTAGTTACAAAGTATGTACATATTTTTTTAATGCTTAAGTTGTACAGAAGTATACAAAGTATAAATCCTCCCTCATATTTCACTTAAGGAGGTCAGAGGTCAGTAACAATAGATCAGACCAATCTAACTTTGTCATCAAAGCAATCCGGTTTTCATATTCTCATCAAACCCTCATTTTTTTCCCTTTAAGGTGTTATTCTGTTATTTATTGGGCTTCTTTCACAGGCTGTTTTCTCTTTTACCAAATTCAGACAAGCCAGTTGCACTCTTAAGTGCCCATTTCACCTTTGGAGACTACACACACACACACACCCCAGTTGTGCACTGCACTGCATCTCCGAGGAAATGCCTATATAGATGGAGAAAATTTTTCTTTTATAGACAAAAAACATTAAGGTGACTCAGATCATTTTCATTGGGACAATTACCAGAATCTGTTCAAGTGAGGGTTTTGAGGCATTTGCATCCTGCTCCACGGTCTCTGCGTCTTCACTTTACTTGACCATCCATCCATTCCTTGTCCCAAACTTTTTTTTTTTAAAGATTTATTTATTGTTTTTATTGGAAAGGCAGATATACAGAAAGGAAGAGAAACAAAGAGGAAGATCTTCTGCCCAATGGTTCACTTCCCAAGCGGCCACATTGGGTGGAGCTGAGCCAGTCCAAAGCCAGGAGCCAAGAGCTTCTTCTGGGTCTCGCACATGGGTGCAGGATCCCAAGGCATTGGGCCGTCCTTGACTGCTTTCCCAGGCCACAGGCAGGGAGCTGAATGGGAAGTGGAGCTGCTGGGATTAGAACCAGCGCCCACATGGGGTTCCTGCACTTTCAAGGCCATGACTTTAACCACTACACTGTCACACCGGGCCCATTGTCCCAAACTTTGATGATGGTGTTCCTAGTAGGTCCCTGTACCTGAAATGATCAGAGAAGCTAAGTTTCTCTGGATTTGAAATTGTTTTTCCTCAAAGTTGGAGTAAAGATATTTGCTACTTTCCTTCTTTCCTCCTTCCTTCCTCTTTCTGTCCCTCTCTTTCTCTCCCTAATGTTTATTTGCACTTACTTGAAAGAACAACAGAGAAAAGGAGATTTTATCTGTTGGCTCACCCACCCCTGCCCCTCCCAGATGACTGCAGCAGCTTGAGCTAAGCCAGGCATAAGCCAAGAGCCCAAAAGTTTCTTCCATGTCTTGCACGCGGGTAGCAGGGACCCAAGCTCTTGGGCTATAGCCACTCCTTTCCCAGGTACATTAACAGAGGGCTGGATTAGAAGTGGGGCAGCCAGGATATGAACCCAACACCCAGATGAGATGCCAGCATTGCAGGCAGAGGTCTTACTTGTTACACCCCAATGCCACTTTCTGAACGCTCATCCTGTCCTTTTCTTTTGTATGTCCCTTTGTGTTTTGTCCTGTTTTTTCATTGAAATCTACTGTCATGAAAGAATCTGAATTGTTCCGTATTACATACACAAATCACTTGAGGGATTGATTTTTTCATATATTATTGTTGGAAAGGTAACCAGAGAGAAGGAAAGACAGATCTTCCATCTGCTGGTTCACTCCCCAAATGGCCAGAGCTGAGCCAGTTTGAAGACAGGAGCTTCTTCTGGATCATCTATGCAGGTGCAGGGTCCCAAGGTTTTGGTCAGTTCTCTGCCACTTTCCCAGGCCACAAGCAGGGAGCTGGATGGGAAGTGGAGCAGCTGGGACACGAATTGGCACCCATGTAGGGTGCTTGCAAGGCAAGGCCATTGCACTGGGTCCAGCGATGTGATTCTTTCAAGGTTTTCTGCACCTTAAGAGGGAGCTAAGGAGTGAAATTATCAATATGAATTTCAAATGTAGACCTGAAGTTGCAAGAATTATGTCTGAAGAAAGGTCCCTTGTCCTTAAATCATCATAACCTTATATCATCTAACTGGAGCATCCTTGCTCTTCTGTAGTTTGTTGGTGTGCTTTGAAGTAGACTACTAAGAACAAGGCACAGTGTAGGAGGAGCTCCCTGATCTTAAAGCATTCCAGATTGAAAAATGACCAAAGTGTGAGACGAGGAACTTAAAATAAGGAAATACGGCAGTCCTCTGGGTGGAAGGATACCACAACCCCGTGCATATTGTATTCCTACTTCCCAGGAGAGTTTTAGGGAAGATTTAGTCATTGAGTG